TTGCCAGTATGCGTCTTTGCCAGCATGGCATTTAATTTGCCGGTATGCAATTGCCAGCATGCATTAGCCAGCATGAGTTTTTGCCAGCATGCGTCTTTGCCAATGCCAGCATGCGTGCTTGCCAGCATGCGGCCTCGGCCTGCGTGTGTATACAACCGCTCAAAGACAACTTCTGTTAATTCGCAACAGGTTTCTCCTGAGCTTATCATCGGCGGACCTGACGGTTGGCCTCGCATACGGCATCTACCTCTCCATGACCTACACGGGTTTCTTTGAACTCTACACGCACCAGGCCACTAGGTGAGTAAACGCTCGCAATTTCAATGCCAACTGTAACTTGCTTCATGCTTAGGTCTTCGCTCATGTTTAGCCCCGAGGGATCTCAAAATTTCAGAAAACACACCTAAATTGTGCAAAAATCACTGAAACTAACAGTGACGTTATACCGGTGTCATGCTATAGCTACACAGACAGAGAATGGCTACGAGAGACCTGTCAGTCCTAGACTTGAGCTGCCAGATTGAATTTTTTAGCTACCAGTGAAAAACCATGGCCACTGCCCACTTTCACATAATGCTAAGCAAGACATAAACATGTGCTGGGTATATATGGGAAAAGAGGTGTACAGTTGCAACAATAGCTCAAATTTCACGTTTGCAATCGTTTATGTAAAAAACACTTATATGTCACTTGGACCAAAGAGCTGGGTTGAATTTATTAGAACTTTCATGGACCTGCAATTTGACGATAGATATTTATTAATTTAGTAACTATGTGAGCAGTTAAATCTTTCGCCAATTTTACTCACCAGCTGGTATAGTAAAACATCCACTGCTGTTTATTCATCGTAATTCGCAAAGGTGGCGAATGCCAGCGATAGCCCCCAGTACTGTGACATAGCTTACGTAAACCGAGATTGGTCACCCACACCGCCATCTTATTCATTGCCGAACGCGTGTCGCTGCTTAACATGCGAGTCGTACGTCCGCACCACAGGTTCGTACTCTGCGTCCTGCGCACCGCACTCATGGACGTCACCCTCGTCGTCTCCGTCACCAACCTGCTGTCGATCACGATCGACCGCTGGATCGCGATCTGCCACCCGCTGCGCTACCCGACGATCGTCACCGACCGGCGCGCCAACGCCGCTATCGGCGCCACATGGCTGTGGGCGGTGCTCTTCGTCGTCGTGCCGCTGCTGCTGTGGCACAGCACCGAGGCGATCTGCTCGATCGAAGTCTTCTTCAACAGGTACCACATGCTCGCGCAGTGCATCTACTTGCTGCTGCTGCTCGCCGCGATGGCCGCGCTGTATGCCGACATCGCGCGCGTCGCAAAGCGCCACCGCCAGAGCATACACGCGCGGCCGAGCGAGGAGCCGGCCGCCATGCGGCGCCACCACGCGCTCGCGACGACGCGCATCTTCGCGCTCGTCTTTGGCGCGCTCGTCGCGTGCGTGACGCCGTTCTACGGCGTCTACACGTACCTGGCGATGCGCGGCCTCGACTACACGGCGCCGGGCTTCTACTGGCCGACGTGGCTTGCCGACGTGCTCTGGGTCGCAAACTCGTGGGTGAACCCGGCCATCTACTGCTGGAAGTACGCCGACTTCCGGCGCGCGCTCCGCACGCTGCTGCGCCGCGAGGGTTGAGAGGTCGTCCCGAGGTCATCCCAAGGTTGTACACTAGCGGGGGCGGGGACCCTGAGGATAGGGAGGTCATCTCGAGGTCAGGCGTTAGAGGGTAGACTGCGAAGGTTGAGAGGTCGTCCAGAGGTCGCGCGCTAGCGGACGGGGACTGCGAGTTTTGAGAGGTCATCCAGAGGTCACGCTAGCGGGCGGGGACCGAGATTGAAAGGTCGTCCCAGAGTCGCACGCTAACAAGCGGGGACGCGAGGGTTGAAAGATCATCCTGAGGTCACACCTTAGCGGGCAGCGGCGACAAGAGATGAGAGGTCGTCCAGAGGTTGTGTATTAGAGGGTAGGGACTGCTAAGGTCGTCCAGAGGTTGCACACTAGTAGGCAAAACTTTGGTTTGAGACTCCGACTACGAACGAGGAGCAGGGCTATTTTTGCATAACAGTGCAGCCGTATCAGTTCAGCCATAAAATTCTCGACAGCTTGCTTGCATGTTGATGGCTGGCATGCGACACTACCTGCCTTCTAGTGTGATCTATCACGCATTAGCACACGATGTAATGTGTTAGTCAACCAATTCATCACGCTCACGTGTACACACGACTACTGGAAGACACCTAAAGTAGCAAGTACTTACATCGCAGCAATGCACTGAGCGGCAATGTCAATCAAGGCTCGGGTGGCTGGACACGTCATCCAGTGCTGCATGAGCTCATTCAACCTCGAAGCATCAGGAACTCCTGTGGTTACCATAGCAACAGCCACCATTAAACAGTTGTTCATGGGGAACATTGAAGAAGTTGTAGTGGACGTTGAGTCACAGAAAAAGGAAGGAAATTATTTTGTGCCTCTCATATAGATGTTTATCTTGCCTGTATTTATGAAATATAAGTTTAACAAGAGCCGCAGAGCGTCTGGGCTTATCTGAGGTCTGTTGCTACGGTTATAAACATAACATTTAAGTCGTGCGTAGTGACACCTTTGTTAGGCGCAAATATGCAGATACGCAGTTGCGTACACATCATTTCAGCAACCTTCTGCATTGTGCATACCTCCCAAATCCCATTGGTTGATACAAATCGCGTGCCTGAAACTCCTGTTTTATGGTGCATTGTGATCCTAACCCTAACCCTAACCCTATTAAAAATTTAAAAAATTTAATTGTTGTAAACATTATTTGTTGTAAATAAATCATGTAAATATTTGCCTTAATTGGAAAGAAATAGTTAAATGGATAAAGATAGAAAAATACAGAAAACAGGTAAATAATAAAAAATCTGATGGGATTCGATCCAAGGACATTTGAGCCGTAATTCTGTGCTGTAGCCGTTGGGCTATCCAGGCTTACTGGCTTTCCAGATTATGGATGTGCCATGAATATGAGACACTGTGACATCATTGAGGCAGTTCAGGAATCCATGTGTAACCCTCCTCTTGAGGGTCAAAAGGTTATCAGACACTTACTCTTTGCATATCAGTGGAAAGCACATTTCATGGTCCTTTCAATAAAGTGATAAAAATGGTAGGTCAGCGCTGAAACAAAAAAGTTTTTCACTTTGTCCGTTAGCCCATGTCCTCAGAAAATGTCTGATATCTGACCTTTCCCCCCCTGCCCTTTGACCTGTGACCTGCAATTTCGCACTGGTGATGGGTTTCCTGCCCATCACACTATACACCAAATATAAAGAGCATAGGTTGAGCCGTTAAGATTTGTGCCGCAATTCCGTATTTCCTCCTATACCTTAAGTTAAGGGGGAAATATTCCCCCTCCGTTTACACATCTTGACCTTTGACCCCCAAATTTGTCATCTTGAATCCTTTTCACGATCCCCCCTGACGTCCCTAATATCGTGACCGTACGTCGAGTGGTTAAGATTTGTGCCCAACTGTTGACGCACGGACGGCCGGTCGCACGTACGGACAATCATGCAATTCTACAAGCTGCATCTGACTATGTCAGATGAGCTAAAAAAGGAAGGAAATTATTTGGTGCCTCTCATATAAATGTTTATCTTGCCTGTATGTATAAAATATAAGTTTAATAAAAACTATTAGTTGCATCATGGTACTGTGATAAAAATGTCAGTTTCCTAAAATTCCTTTTCATTAAACAAAATTGCAATTTTTGCACCATAATTGCCAGAATCTTTGATGACTACTAGTATAGCACTTTTACCAATTTTACTAGCCACTGTGACACTATTATCACACCAGGGTAAAAAATACACGGGAGCGATGAGGGATTCGCTCTTCAAACATCCGAAATCGCTCCCGTAAGGCTCAAAATATCTCCCGTAAAATTTTTGACGAGAGCTATTTTTCCCACAGACTTTTGAAAAAGAGCTCCCGTGAAAAAAAGTCATTTTTCCCCTGTATCACACTCTAGCCATGCATGATGCAACTTTTCAAGCTGGTAGCTAAGAGTAACATTTTTGACATATATATATAATCAAAAGACAATAGATAAATTTTATCCAATTTGCAATTTTTAGCATTTAAAACCAAGTTTATTGGACTTTGACTGTATTATCTAGTATTTACTCGTTGTGTTTATACTGTGTTGCTGTAACGTTAGGTCGTGAATAAAGAAAGATTCTACTTCACAATGTCCTAGTCCAAAGTTAACAAAATAGTTTTTTGATTGCTTACAAGTTAACACCAATAGGTGTTTATAGACAAGCACAATTTCATCTGGTTGTTTCAAATTTCAGGAAGTGAAATCTGTCCAAAACATTGTGTACGTATATTATGTTTGATCTTATTAAAAATCTAGATAATAAACATCATACACTTACCACTTCTCTCTGCATAGTTACTACCTAGCTGTCCAAGTAATTCAATAGACCACTGAAATATAGCAATCAAAATAACATCAATGCCTTGAGTTATTACTATAATCTCTATGAACCTTGAAATGAGTGCAACACATAGAAAGCTTTACAGAAAAGCCTAGCTGCTATTATCAACCGACAACAAGTGTTAGCATGATCATATATATACTATCAAGAGCTAATAATACCTAGAGTGTACAACGGGAAAATAGTGCTATTTCCGTCAAAATATTATTCTACTTTGTCTGCGAATCTAGAATAAAATCATGGTATTGTGTTATTAAAGCAGCATTCTTTGTTCTCTAAAACAACACCAACCGCTTGTCTCTGCGATACTCCTAGGCCGAGATATTGGATCGTAATCATGCCTCCCACACTGGCCTCATGACGCCTTAATACCGCATAATCCCGAACCTTTGCGCGCTTAAAACTTTAGGAAAGTCGCTTCGTGAGAGTTCGGTTTTTTCCGCGATTACTTTATGAATGAACGGCATTTCGGTTATCATCAGTGGCTTTCTGGGGGGTCACCTAGGCCCTTATCTCCCATTATCTTTCCTAGCACGGCTAATGCCCGCATTGATGGAGCCGGCAATGTTTTCTAAATTCATTCTCTACAACGCAGCTCAGTTACTATGGTGTAGTAAGCATACCACATTTGGGCATGTGACATCAATTATCAGCGCTCCAAGCGGCGACGAAAAATGATAGCCAAAATCGTTAAGCGTGCAAAGGTTTGGGAATATGTGGTATCGAGGCGTCATGAGGCCAGTGTGGGAGGCATGATTACGATCCAATATCTCGGCCTAGGAGTATCGTAGAGACAAGCGGTTGGTCTTGTTTTAGAGAGCAAAGAATGCTGCTTAAGGCCAAACCATGAACTCATTCTAGACTCGCAGTCAACGTAGAATAATATTTCTGTAAAATAGCTCTATTTTCCCGTTTTCCCGCTGTACACTCTAGGTATTATTAGCTCTTGATACTATATAGTATATACATGTTTATAGAATTGGAATGGAATCAAGCTTACACTTGAGATGATTGGAGCCCATGCAGTAGGGTTGCTTGTAATGAATCCTGTCAATACTTGGTAGATGTCATCAATAACTTCATCTAAGCTGGTATCTTCAATACAAAATAAACATCATATCAAGAGCTAATAATACCTAGAGTGTACAACGGAAAAACGGGAAAATAGTGCTATTTCACGACAACATTATTCTACTTTGCCTGCGAGTCTATAATAATTTCATGGTATTGCATTAAGCAGAATTCTTTGCTCTCTAAAACAAGACCAACCGCTTGTCAATACGATACTCCTAGGCGGAGATATCGGCTCCTAAACCTCCCCTCCCACATGCCAAACGCCGCCTCGAATCCACTTCTGTCCGCATCCTTCACGCGTCTAAGCATTTCGGCTATCGGTTTCCGTCACCGCTTGGAGCGCTGATAATTGATGTCACATGCCCAAATTTGGTACTCTTACTAGCTGCGTTGTAGAGACTTAATTAAAAAAACATTGCCGGCTCCATCATGACGGGCATTAGCCGTGCTAGGAAAGATAATGGGAGATAAGGGCATAGGCGATGCCCCCGAAAGTCACCTCCACCCTGCACCTGCACCCGAAAATCATTCATAAAATTATGGCGGAAAAACCGAACTCTCACGAAGCAACCTTAGAGGCGTTTAGGTTACGGAATAAGCTGGATGCCAGGCCGTGTGAGGCATGTGGGAGGGGAGGTTTAGGAGCCAATATCTCAGCCTAGGAGTATTGTATTGACAAGCGGTTGGTCTTGTTTTAGAGAGCAAAGAATTCTGCTTAAATGCAATACCATAAAATTATTCTAGACTCGCAGGCAAAGTAGAATAATCATGTCGTGAAATAGCACTATTTTCCCGTTTTTCCGTTGTACACTCTAGGTATTATTAGCTCTTGATCATATTAGGAGTGAATTAAAAAACAAATGGTTTTCATCACTCTGATCACACAGGCACACATATAACATTAAATGATCCGGTAACCAATAATCAACTGATTTATGACAGATTGAAATCTTGTATATGAGCCAATGTACAAATGTGATTATCTTGCTTTCCACCATGCTTTTTATATCGGAACCTATAAAATTTCATGCCCAGTGAGACACTTTTAATTCTAGCAAGCAACTATGCACCCGGAGAACTAGTCCGGATCCACTATATCCTACCAGGAGAAGGGCTGGTTCTCCCTGTCTCTAACTGCAGCAGATAGACATTCACGGCTTCGTCAAACACCGAGCATAGGTGCTCAAGGACGGCGGCTCTTGATGACGGCAACGATTTCAGCAGGAAGATGGCGCTCTGGGCCAGTTCCTGTCGTGAGAGATTGTCCGCGAGCTGCGCTCCGGTGACAAACTTGTGAACCTCATTGAGAATTTCCTGCACAATAGGAAAACAGCAGAACCACTCAATTATGATTTAGGATTGTCCTAGACGTCACTGCTGGCTGCAAGGGCAAAATCCTACACGTGATGCATTAAAAATATATAATGACATTTTAATGACTTTTCAATTCAGCCAACAACCCATGGCATTATGCATTTAGGGCTACTAATTAGCCTAGGCAGGCATGCTCTAGCCAAAGCGGACACACAATCCTAGCTTAGCGCTCCGGCTTAGTTTAGGACATTTGCGAAAATAAGGGCTGGGTCCCAAACTAGGATTGTGCATGTCCTATGAGTCTGACCACAGGCCATTGGAGACTCAAGTTTCAAGAAGATTATAAGACTATATTAAAAGCGAAGCGCTTACCGCTTATTACCGCTTCGCTCTTAATATAGTCTTATACTCTTCTTGAAACTTGAGCCTCCAAGGGCCTGTGCTAGTATGACATGTATCATTGTATCATGTATGATTATGATGAGCCTGTCACTGTCACTGTCAGTGTCAGACTATGTAACGTTCCGTACCGGGTATGTTGAAAAATATAAAAACATGATAAACACCATTACATTGGTGATGAATTACATACCACCTGCCAATATGCAATAATTAGCGTTTTAATCACGATAAGTCTAATTATTTAACATGGTCACAGAGGAGCATCTTACCTGTGAATTATGAGACTGAATAACTCTGCTCTCTTCTGTGGTGGCTGCCATACTTTTTCATGCTCAATTGTTTCGTAACATTTTCGGGAGAGGGCGCGCTACATTTTCTGAAGTATATTTAGCTCCTTGGTATGATGGACTGATGCTGCAGCAAAATGATTATTTCTACTGAATTTGGGTTTTATTAGAATGTGAAGTGATTTTACCCGTATTTATAACATTAAATTGTAAGGTATGCGTAAAATATAGACAGAGAATTTATGTTTGTGTTGCAATGAATGATGTAGGCTCAATAGGTATAATTAGCGATCATTATCGGCTCATCCAATGATCCATTTTTTTCAGTGCCACTTCATTTCATTTTCAACATTTGGCATTTGCGACTTGGGGCTTTTCAATAATTAATAATTACCTAGCAATTCTATTTAGATGCTTTTTAAATACTGTTCTGAGTGTTCAACAGGGGTTGGGGTTAGGGGTTGGCTGACTAGATGACCGTATGGTCTTTTCGTCATCCCTTCACTGTACGTTATTCATATTTTGTTAAAAAAATCCTCGTCTGCTGATATTGAAAGTGATAAAATAAACTCGTATATCTTATATCAACAAGACAGTCACTGCGTGTGACACAGACTGAGACAGTACTACTGGGGTGAGTCACGAGATAAGAGATATCTCTCTGGAGCAGGTGCCACCTGATATCTCTGAGGTGGCAAACTGGGAGTACTAAAATTTCAAACCACGCACTTAACTCCAGAAGGTAGCAACAAATTCTCAACAAAGCATTCCATATTTTTATCTATTTATAGGCCAGTGCTCTCCCGTTCAGCATAACCTTCCCTGCACTGGCCCGACATGCGAGCTCATCCCCATTTTATAATATATGTCTACACAGCAGCTGAACAGCACCGGACTGGATGTGACCGAGTCAGATGGGAGAGATAGTCGAGAACACGCCAGAGAGGGCGGCCTCGCCTGCCAGACTAGCCTACACGTCCGACAAGCACCCTAGACACACGCTGGAGGCGACAAACTCGTTGCGCAAGCACCGCGAGCTATGCGACGTCGTCATCATCGTCGGCACGCGCAAGATCTTCGCGCACCGCGTCATCCTGTCGGCGTGCAGCCCCTACTTCCACGCGATGTTCACGGGCGAGCTCGCCGAGAGCCGGCAGACGGAGGTGACGATCCGCGACATCGACGAGCGCGCGATGGAGACGCTCGTCGACTTCTGCTACACGTCGCACATCGTCGTCGAGGAGAGCAACGTGCAGACGCTGCTGCCGGCCGCCTGCCTGCTGCAGCTCGCCGAGATCCAGGAGACGTGCTGCGAGTTCCTCAAGCGACAGCTCGACCCGTCCAACTGCCTCGGCATCCGCGCGTTCGCCGACACGCACGCCTGCCGCGACCTGCTGCGAGTCGCCGACAAGTTTACGCAGCACAACTTTCAGGAGGTGCGTCGACGTCGGCCGTTGTCCGTGCGCGCGTACCCATCGGTGTGCCCACTAGTGGATGTAACAGGGGATACTACCAACTTTAATAGTAGCAATGCTAGCACCTATGCCGTCTATTGTGCAAGCTGGCCGTTTTTGTCGGAGTTACACCCGTGATGTTGTGGCGTGATTCAGATTTCCCCTTATGCATGATATTTGTTAAGTTCAAGGTTGGGTTTGGGTTACCCATCTGTATGAGCAATTGAAAGCTCTAGTTTTCTGTTTAATGAACTTTTGGCAAAAATAGCAGTAATAATTAAGTCGTTTGGTTCAATGTAAACCTCGCCTTGTACTCTGGCATGTTCGCTCTGTACTCTGGCATGAGCGTATATATGTGAGTATCCTAACATGCACCTGCGTGTTTCGCTAGGTGATGGAGAGCGAAGAATTCCTTCTGCTGCCTGTCAATCAGCTGATCGACATCATCTCCAGCGATGAACTGAACGTTCGCACTGAGGAGCAGGTTTTCAGCGCAGTCATGGCCTGGGTGAAGTACAACACGACCGAGCGACGACCCCTCTTGCCACAGGTTGGATTTCTAGCTGTCACGTGTCAGATGTGTTGAGCCATCGTAAGCTCATGTTGAGCCATCTTCATTTCATGTTAAGCTATTGGTAGTGTATATTTAGCCATCTTAAATAAACGTTAACCTATTAGTGTACACTACACAACCTTTTGTTTGAATTATACTGTCTGAAGCTCAGGTATTGAGTTCTGTATTCTATTCTCAAGTTTCAATATGTAGACATGTAGGCTGCATGTACCTCGACAAGAGAATTGCCCTGAATCAGGGAAAGCTTGAAAAAAATTTCATTTTATTCAAGGTCAGGGGAAAGTCGAGGAATTTCGATCTCGATCAAGGAAAAGTAGTATTTAACCAGAAGTCATAGGAAGCTTAGGGAAAATTGAAATTTTGAGAATGTTGTCAACCAGCGAATTGATGCGATACTTTGTTGCAGACGCTTCAGCACGTGCGTCTGCCGCTGCTCAGCCCAAAGTTCCTCGTCGGCACCGTCGGTGCGGACCTGCTCATTAAGAGCGACGAGTCGTGCCGGGATCTCGTTGACGAGGCAAAAAACTATCTGCTGCTGCCGCAAGAACGCCCGCTCATGCAGGGTCCGCGAACTCGGCCCAGAAAGCCGATACGATGTGGCGAGGTGTTGTTTGCAGGTATTAAAGCGTGTGCAGTTCATCGCAAATGTTGTCGGTCGCAACCGTACTGCTAATGTTGATTGATAAGTACGGTTAGACATCGACTAATTTGAGTATTTAAAATAAAATACGTCGAATTGGAATCGATAACTCCCTTTATGTAAACCGCAGCATAATTACGTAATCGGCGAATTAAAACTCGCGAATGTGTAGCGAGTGGATTTAAATCATCGCATTGCAATTGATGGATGTATTCGAACGAATTCCTTCTCGATTCTCCAGTCGGGGGCTGGTGCAACTCGTTGCGATTGACTGCTGTATTTGAACGAATTCCTTCTCGATTCTCCAGTCGGGGGCTGGTGCAGTGGAGACGCGATCTCAAGTGTCGAGCGCTACGACCCGCAGACGAATGAGTGGCGGATGGTGGCGCCGATGAGCAAGCGGCGCTGCGGCGTCGGCGTCGCCGTGCTCAACGACCTCCTGTACGCCGTCGGTGGACACGACGGACAGTCCTATCTCAACAGCATTGAGAGGTGAGCAGGCAGGATGGCTCTGCTGTACGCGGGACCTTAGATATATGTTACTGCTAGTCCTATCTCAACAGCATTGAGAGGTGAGCGGGCGGGATGGCTCTGCTGTACGCGGGACCTTAGATATATGTTACTGCTAGTTCTATCTCAACAGCATCGAGAGGTGAGCGGGCGGGATGGCTCTGCTGTACGCGGGACCTTAGATATATGTTACTGCTAGTCCTATCTCAACAGCATTGAGAGGTGAGCGGGCGGGATGGTTCTGCCGTACGCGGGACCTTAGATATATGTTACTGCTAGTCCTATCTCAACAGCATCGAGAGGTGAGCGGGCGGGATGGCTCTGCCGTACGCAGGACCTTAGATATATGTTACTGCTAGTTCTATCTCAACAGCATCGAGAGGTGAGCGGGCGGGATGTTCTGCCGTACGCGGGACCTTAGATATATGTTACTACTAGTCCTATCTCAACAGCATTGAGAGGTGAGTGGGCGGGATGGTTCTGTCGTACGCGGGACCTTAGATATATGCTACCGCTAGTCCTATCTCAACAGAGTCGAGGGGTTAAAACAGCAAGTAGTTCCGCGTGCTGCACACGTCTCCTTGCAGGTGTTTTCCTGCACGTTGGATCAAAAGATATGCTACTGGTTACTATCGGTGTTGGTAGTAATGTGCGATATGTGTGAGGGGTAGGCATGGGCCATGTCTACGTGATGCATGTATGGCCGCTTATCAGGGAAAATTTACTTTTTTTCACGGGAGCTCTGCTCTTTTTCAAAAGTCTGTGGGAAAAATAGCTCTCATCAATAATTTTACGGGAGCTATTTTGAGCCTCACGGGGGGGATTTCGGAGGTTTGAAGAGCGAATCGCTCATCGCTCCCTTGTATTTTTTACCCTGCCGCTTATGTGTATTCAACATGGCCACCAGCTTATCGCTCCTTGCCATCGTGCTGTAAAGTTAGCGACGAGCGATCGGTAGTAACGTGTGGTCGGACACTCTTCCTCGCTGCGATTTCCGGCGATTTTGTGCGTCGGCGGAGAGGTACAGCTGCGTGTGCGTCTTGCAGGTACGATCCTCAGACGAATCAGTGGTCGAGCGACGTCGCTCCAACGAGCTCCTGCCGTACGAGCGTCGGCGTCGCCGTGCTCGAGAACTACCTGTACGCCGTAGGAGGCCAGGACGGCGTCTCGTGTCTCAACGTGGTCGAGCGGTGAGTAGTCGGGGGGGGGGGATCGGGGGGCGGTTCAGTTGAGACGCGATCGCTACATCGTGGAAAGGACGCCGATTTTCCGGGGACTGTTGTCCGCGGATTTTTCCGCGTGTTTGAGGACTAATCCGTTAAGTTGGCACGTGAGTTTTAGGTGCTGAATTACGGGTTCAATACCAATGCTTTACCGCAAGAACCGAAATGTCGTATTGTGAAATGGAATGCGTTTGTATGTGTGACCCCCTGTTCTAGGTATGACCCTCAGGGGAACAGGTGGAACAAGGTTGCGTCGATGAGCACGCGGCGGCTCGGTGTAGCCGTCGCCGTCCTGGCCGGCTACCTGTATGCAGTCGGCGGATCAGATGGCACTTCTCCTCTCAATACAGGTAGGTTCTTCATTAGTGTTTCACTGTCGAGCTGTCGGTAGTTTTCGTATATATAATACATGTGTTCTTTCGATTAAATAATTCTTCACCAAGATGGTCGCCCTGGTAGTATCGCCTGATTTATTCGATGTACTGACACTTTCTATCTAAATGACAAGATGAGTCTCTAGGCACGCCACAGGGTAGGAGCGAACCCTACGACGACGACTTTTTTAAGACGACGATGAAACGCTGATATATACGACAAAGAAACGACGATGACGTGAAGAGACGAGACGTGACGCGGATCTCTCGCGGTTGTTTTCTTGCAGTCGAGCGATACGACCCGCGAGCGAACCGCTGGATGCCGGTGGCGCCGATGGGCACGCGCCGCAAGCACCTGGGCGTCGCCGTCTTCAACAACATGCTGTATGCGGTCGGCGGCCGCGACGACGCGACGGAGCTGAGCAGCGCCGAGCGCTACAACCCGCAGAGCAACCAGTGGAGCCCCGTCGTCGCGATGAACTCACGCAGGAGCGGGGTGAGTGTGTGTGTGTGCGGCGTGTCGGTCGGAGAGTGTGTCGGTATATAGACTGTAGCGCACGAACGTGGTTAGTGCTCATGCTGTTAGATGCATGTCGCGCAGGAGCGGGGTGAGTGAGTGCAGGCAGCATATCGGTCGGAGACTCGGAGAGTATGCTGGTACATAGACCAGTGTGCCGCCGTCCCGCGCTCGCGCTTGGCGCGTCGTCCCGCGCTAACGCTCGTCCCGCGCTCGCGCTCGTCCCGCGCTCACGCTCGTCGCGTCGTCGTCCCGCGCTAACGCTCGTCCCGCGCTCACGCTCGTCGCGTCGTCCCGCGCTAACGCTCGTCCCGCGCTCACGCTCGTCGCGTTGTCCCGCGCTCACGCTCGTCGCGTCGTCCCGCGCTAACGCTCGTCGCGTCGTCCCGCGCTCGGCGCGTCGTCCCGCGCTCACGCTCGTCGCGTCGTCCCGCGCTCACGCTCGTCGCGTCGTCCGCGCTCACGCTCGTCGCGTCGTCCGCGCTCGGCGCTCGTCGCGCGCTCGCGCTCGTCGCGTCGTCCCACGCTCGCGTCTCCGCGC